CAGTTGTTAGCTGGGTTCGGTTACGTGTTAATATCAACAACCACCCACACATCGTCAGCAACCACCGCACACGTCCTCCAGCAACCACCCACACGTCATCCAGCAACCACCCACACATCCTCCAGCAACCACCACACACATCACTCAACAGCCACCCCACACGCCCGTCACCAGCAGCCACCCGCACGTCCTCCAACAGCCACCCGCCGTCATCCAGCAACCACCCACGCACCTCCAGCCCAGCCCACCCGCATCCTCAACCGACCCACACCCGTCACCCCAGCAATACCCACGCACATCACAGCAACCACCACACGTCCTCCAGCAGCAACCACCCCACACGCCCGCATCCTCCAGCAACCACCCACACGTCATCCAGCAACCACCCACACACGCGTCATCAGCAACCGCCCACCGTCATCCGGCCACCGCGCCCCCGCACCACCCACGCCCGTCACTCCGGCAACCGCCCGCGTACGTCATCAACCACCGCCACGCACCCGTCATCGACAGCCACGCGTCATCCACAGCCACCCGCACGTCATCCAGCAACCGCCACACACGTCATCCAGCAACCACCCACACACGTCTCCGGCCCCCACGCATCATCAGCAACCACCCACACGCGTCATCAGCAACCACCCACACACTCCGATCAACAGCCACCCACACACGCCTCCAGCAACACCCCACGCATCCAGCACTTCACTCCAGCAACCACCCACACGCCCATCGACAACCAGCCCCACGTCCTCCAACAACCACCCACACACGTCGTCAACAACCAACCACCCATATCCAGCAACCACCCACACGCCCATCCTCCAGCAACCACCCGCACACGTCCATCCAGCCAGCACACGCACGTCGCCAGCCAACCACCCACACACGTCATCAGCAACCACCCCGCGTATCCAGCAACCACCCGCACCGTCTCCAGCAACCACCCACGCACGTCATCCAGCAACCACCCGCCGTCATCGCAACCACCCACGCACCGTCATCGGCAAACACCCGCACACGTCATCGGCAGCCGCCGCACGTCATCCCGGCAACCGCCCACACGCACGTCACCGACAACCGCCGCGTCATCGGCAACCGCCGCGTCATCGACATGCCCACACACGCCCGTCATCAGCAACCACCCACACGCCCTCCAGCAACCACCCACACACGCACTCAACAACCAGCCACGTCCATCAGCAACCACCCACACACGCCCATCGCCAGCCACCCCACACACGTCATCGCAACCACCCCACGTCATCGACAACCACCCACACGTCATCAGCAACCACCACACACATCGTCCAGCAACCACCACACACGCCCTCCAACAACCGCCACACGTCGTCCAGCAACCGCCACACGCCCTCCAGCAACCGCACCCACACGCCCTCCAGCGACACTCCAGCAACCACCGCACGCCCCGCTCCGGCAACGACCACGCACGTCATCGGCAACCACCCACCGTCGTCCAACAACCCACACACCCGTCATCCAGCAACCACCCACACGCCGTCATCGACAACCGCCGCACGTCATCCAGCAACCGCCACACCCGTCATCAGCATACCCACACACGTCATCGACGACCGCCCACGCTCCCATCAACAACCACCCACACACCCGTCATCAGCAAGCCACCACACGTCATCCAGCAACCACCCACGCCGTCATCAGCAACTGCCCCACGCACACCGTCACTCCAGCAACCACCCACCGTGCCAGCAGCCCACACATCCTCAGCAACCACCCACACACACACACGTCCTCCAGCAACCACCCACCACACGTCATCAGCAACCACCACACCGTCACTCCAGCAACCACCCACACACACCCGTCCTCCAGCAGCCACCCACACACACCCCGTCATCAGCAGCCACCCACGCACGCCTCCAGCAACACCACACACGTCCATCCAGCAACCACCCACACACACGCCTCCAGCAACCACCCACGCATCGTCAGCAACCACCCACACGTCACTCCAGCAATGACCACACACGTCCTCGGCAGGCCACTCACGTCGTCAATGACCAGCCACGCACGCCCTCGGCAACCACCCACGCACGTCGTCAGCAATCACCCACGCACGTCGTCGCAAGCACGTCATCCATCAACCGCCCACGTCGTCCGACGACCACACGCATCCAGCAACCGCCACACGTCGTCAACCACCCACACGTCGTCCAGCAACCACCCACACCCTCCAGCAACCACCCACACGTCATCACGACCACCCACGTCGTCCAGCAACCAGCCACACGTCATCCGGCAACCACCCCACACGTCATCAGCAGCCACCCACACACGTCACTCAGCAACCACCCGCACATCATCCAGCAACCACCCACACACGTCCATCCAGCAACCGCCACACGTCATCAGCAACCACCCACACCGCTCCAGCCAGCCACCCCACACGTCCTCAGCAACCCGCACGCACGTCGTCAGCAACGCCCGCACATCGTCCAACAACCACACACGTCCTCCAGCAACCACCCCACACACGTCATCCAGCAACCACCACGTCATCGACAAGCCGCACACACGTCGTCAACCAGCCAATGCACACGTCATCGACAACCGCCACGCGTCATCGACAAGCCGCCACACACGTCATCGCAATGCCCCACGTCGTCCAGCAACCACGCACCCCGTCCTCCAGCAACCGCACGGCTCTCCAGCAACCACCCACCGTCATCCAGCAACCACCCCACACACGTCATCCAGCAACCACCCACGCACGTCATCCAGCAACCACCCACACGCCCTCCAGCAACCACCCCACGCACCCTCAACAACCACCCCACACGCCCTCCAGCAACCACCCACCACGCACGTCATCCAGCAACCACCCACACGCACTCAGCCAACCACCCACACGCCACTCAACAGCACCCACGCCTCCAGCCAGCCACTCCAGCAACCGGCCCGTCCTCGGCAACCGCGCATCGTCGACAACCACCCGCACGCCCGTCCTCAACGACACCCGCACCATCTCCAGCGCCCACACGCACGTCATCCAGCAGCCGCACATACGTCATCAGCAACCACCCGCACACGTCATCCGGCAACCGCCACACGTCATCGACAGCACCACGCACCCCGTCATCGGCAACCACCCGCACGTCATTCCAGCAACCACCCACATGCGTCATCAGCAACCACCGCACCCGTCATCAGCAACCACCCACACACGTCATCCAGCAACCACCCACACACCCGTCCTCCAGCAACCACCCACACGCACCCGTCCTCAGCAACCACCCGCACGTCACTCCAACTGACGCACGTCACTCCGACGACCACCCATACGTCCCATCCAGCAACCACCACACACACCCGTCCTCCAGCAATACCCACGTCATCCAGCAACCGCCACACGTCATCAGCAACCACCCGCGTCTTCCAGCAACCCCCCACACGTCCTCAACGGCCACCACACACGTCATCCAGCCAACGCACACACACCCATCGCTCCAGCAATACCCCGCCATCAGCAATACCCACACACGCCCGCCAACCACCCGCACGCCCTCCGGCAACCGCCACGCGCCCATCGCAACCAGCACACACGTCATCCAGCAACCACCCACGTCATCCAACAATAGCCACACCCGTCATCAGCCGCCCACGCCCGTCATCGACAACCACCCACGCACCCCCGTCATCCAGCAATGCCCCACGTCATCCAGCAACCACCCTACGTCACTCAACAACCGCCCGCACGTCATCAACAACCACCCACACGTCATCAGCAACCACCCACACCGTCATCGACCACCCACACGTCACTCCAGCAACCGCCCACATGCGTCACTCCAGCAACCACCCACACCGTCTCCAGCAACCGCACGTCATCGGCAACCACCACATCTCAACTACCCACACACACGTCCTCAGCAAACCACCCACACACACGTCCTCAGCAACCGCCCACGTCGCCCGCAACAACCACCCGCACCCGTCATCGGCGCCCACCGCCACTCCGACAACCACCCACGCACTCCAGCAACCACCCGCACACGTCATCAGCAACCCTACACACGCCTCCTCAACCACCCCACGCACGTCGTCCAGCAACCACCCGCACGTCATCGACAAACCAGCCACACACGTCATCAACAACCACCGCACGTCGTCCGACAACCACCACACGCCTCCAGCAAGCACCCCACACACGTCGTCGACAACCGCACACGTCATCCAACAATGACCACACACGTCATCAGCAACCACCCACACGTCGTCCAGCAACCAGCCCACACGCACTCCAGCAACCACCACGCATCGTCAACAACCACCCACGTCGTCCGGCAACCAGCCACGCACGCCCGCTCCAGCAACCACCCGCACACGTCACTCCAGCAACCACCCACGCATCGTCCAACAACCAACCGTCGCTCAGCAACCACCCCACACGTCATCCAGCAACCACCCCGCACGTCATCAACCAGCCACCCACACACGTCGTCCAGCAACCGCCCCGCACGTCCAACAACCACCCACACACGTCATCAACAGCCAGCCACCCACACACACGCCACATCAACCAGCCACCCCGCACGTCCTCAACAACCACCCACACGTCGTCGGCAATGCCCACGCATCGTCAACAACTGCACCCGCACGTCATCCAGCAACCGCCACGCACGTCATCGGCAACCGCCCACACACGTCATCGACAGCCACCCGCACGTCGTCCGGCAACCGACACGCGTCATCAACAACCACCCACGTCATCCAGCAAGCCACCCACGCATCATCGGCAATGCCCCGCACGTCCTCCGGCCAACCGCCCCACCGCACGTCATCAACCACCCACACGTCGTCAAGCAGCCACCCACACCCGTCATCCAGCAACCACCCGCACACACCCGTCATCCGGCAACCACCCACACACACCGTCGCTCCAGCAAGCCACACACACGTCCTCCAGCAACCACCCACGCATCATCAACAGCCACCCACGCACGTCCTCCAGCCACCCACACACACGTCGCTCCAGCAACCACCCACACGTCATCCAGCAACCACCCCACACACCGTCCTCCAGCAGCCACACACACGTCATTACAACCACCCACGCACGTCATCCGACCCACACACCCCGTCATCAACAACCGCCCGTATCCGCAGCCACCACGCACGTCATCAACAACCGCCCCACACGTCATCAACGCGCCGCGTCTCAGCTAACCACCCGCACCGTCATTGAGACCGCCACACGCCCGTCATCGACGATACCCACACCATCCAGCAATACCCCACCGCCCATCGACAACCAACCCACGTCCATCGACCAGCCCGCACCGGCATCGGCAACACCCACACACGTCGTCAGCAACCACCCACGTCACTCCAGCAACCAGCCACACACGTCGCTCAGCAACCACCCGCATCGTCAGCAACCAATACACACCCTCCAGCAACCACCCACACCGTCGTCCAGCAACCACCCCACGCACGTCGTCCAACAACCCACACACGTCGCTCCAGCAACCACCCACACGCTCCGCCAGCAACCACCCACACACGTCCTCCAGCAACCCGCACACGTCGTCAGCAACCACCCACACCCGTCTCCAGCAACCACCCACGCACACCCGTCATCGACAACCGCCCCACACACCCCGTCCTCCAGCAACCACCGCACACGTCATCCAGCAACCGCCCACGCCCGTCATCAGCAACCACCCACACACACGTCATCAACAACCACCCGCACGTCTTCCCAACAACCGCACACACACGCCGTCATCAACTGACCACCCGCAGATCCATTCCCGGCAACCGCCCACGCACACGTCATCAGCAAACCCCCACGCACGCAGCAACCACTCCCGTCAGCGGCCACGCACCGTCATCGCCTGCCCACATCACGTCATCAGCAACCACCCCACGCATCATCAGCACGCCCGCCACGCCCGTCATCACCAGCCACACACACGTCCTCCAGCAACCACCCCGCACACGTCCTCAGCAACCACCCCACACACGTCATCAACAACCACCCACACACACGTCATCCAGCAACCCCCACGTCCTCAGCAACCACCCACACGTCCTCCAGCAACCACCCACACACACCCCGTCCTCCAGCAACCACCCCGCACTCCAGCAACCGCGCACGCATCCAGCAACACCCACACACGCCGCATCCCAGCAACCACCCACACGCACTCCGGCAACCACACACACGTCATCAACAACCACCCACGCCATCGTCCGGCAGCAACCACCCACGCCTCCTCCAGCAACTACCCACACACGCCGTCATCCCGGCAACCGCCCCACCGCACCCGTCATCCAGCAACCGCCCGCACACGTCATCGGCAACCCGCCGCATGCGTCATCAGACAACGCCCACGTCCATCGACGACCGCACGCACGTCATCAAGCAAGCCACACCCGTCACTCCAGGCAATGCCCACACGTCGCCAGCAAACCGCACACGCGTCCTCCAGCAACCGCCGCACCCGTCCTCCAGCAACCACCCGCACACGTCATCAACAGCCACCCACACACGTCATCAGCAACCCACACACACACGTCCTCCAGCAACCCGCACACGTCATCCAGCAACCACCCACACGTCCGTCAGCAACCACCCACACGCCGTCCTCCAGCAACCACCCACGCACGCCCTCCAGCAACCACCCACACGCCCTCCGACAATGACCGCACACGTCATCAGCAATACCGCACGCACGCCTATCAGCAACCGCCACGCACGTCGTCCAGCCAGCCCACCACGTCATCGGCAACCAGGCCGCACGTCATCGACGACCGCTCGCACACGTCATTCCGGCAACCACACCACGCCATCCAGCAACCGCCCGCACGCGTCATCCGGCAACCGCCCCACGCACGTCGTCAGCGACACCGCCCACGTCATCGACCGCCACGTCATCCAACAACCATACCACGCCCCATCAGCAAACGCCCACACACGTCGTCCAGCAACCACCCCACACGTCATCAGCAACGCCACACGCACATCGGCAACCGCGTCATCCAGCAACCACCACGTCGTCAGCAACACACCCACGTCCTCCAGCAACCACCCACACGTCCTCCAGCAACCGCCACACACGTCATCAGCAACCACACACGTCAGCCATCATCCAGCAACCACCCCCCGTCGCCAGCAACCGCCCACGCCCACCACACACGTCATCAGCAACCGCACACACGTCCTCCAGCAACCGCCCACACGTCATCAGCAACCACCCACACACGCCCTCCAGCAGCCACCCACACCACCCTCCAACAACCACCCACCCCAACAACCACCCTCAACCAACACACACACCCTCCAACAACCACCACACACACCCTCACACACAACCAACCACCCACCCACACACACACCTCCAAACAACCACCCACCACACACCCTCCAACAAACCACACACACACACACCCCCAACAACCACCCACACACACACACACACCTCCAACAATCAATCCACACCCACACACACACCCTCCAACAACCACCCACCCACACACCCTCCAACACCACCCACACACAACCACCCTCCAACACCACCCACACACACAACCACCCACCAACAACCACCACACACACCCTCCAACAACCACCCACCACACCACACACCCCTCAACAACCACCCACACACACACACACACCCTCCAAACAACCACCCACACACACACACACCCTCCACAACCACCCACACACACACACACACCTCCAACAACCCACACCCACCCACACACACCCTCCAACAACCACCCACCCACACACCTCCAACAACCACCCACACACACACACACCCTCCAACCACACACCCACAACACACACACACCCTCCAACAACCACACATTCCTCTACACACACACCTCCAACAACCACCCAACACAGGAATTAAGACAGCAAGCATCAGAATGAGGGTCTTAGTTGTACATAACTTGCTGTGTGTGTGACTGCATGTTACAGTTAATATCTGCTGTTTCAGAGTTCAACTGGCCACTAAGCTTCACCACACACCTGATCACCCACCTTTCACTTATTTTATAATGTTGTGTTACGTAATGTTGAAGGGATCCAACGTTGCTCATTTATACTCACACTTCCCACAACCTCCCTCAAAAATTCTTTGGCTTTTGTGTTTATTTAAGACATATTCACGTCATGAGACCACTAATCCCCCACCCTACCTCCACCTGACATTGTGTCAGGTCAGTTTCCTGAGACTCATAAATCCCCCACAGCTCCATGGAGTGGAAAATAACAGTCTTTGCTGTAACTCACAGCATAGATTTTTATTTTTTTAAATATATTTATTTAAACAAACTTTTAGATAAGCTATTCTGGATTATTATAGTAAAGAAATGGAGTTTCTAACTTAATTAGAACTGCATTTATGGACTCGGCTAGATTAAACTCAAAGAAAACATTCCCTACCACCCAGATACATTTTTGGTAAGTGGGCTAGTGTCTGTCTGTGCAAGATGTCTAGCTTAGACACTTGGAAACTTTTCTTAGTAACCAGAAAAGATTCCAGGGAGGTGTATGCGCCTACTGCAATACACATACAGTGGGGTATGCTATAACGAACGTAATTGGTTCCAGAACCTCGTTCGTTATAGCATTGGTTCGTTATAGGATTAATCCGTTCCAGGCCCCCAAATACAACCACCTAACACTGAAAAAATTCTGTGGAAAATGTAAAAAAATAATGTACTTTATCTTACCTTAGTGTTTTTCAGCATGCAGGTACCCCTAAACACTGGCACATCACTATCACTTCCACTGGGAGTCTTGGCTTTAAGGTCCTCAAACAATTGTCTGGCCTTCTCACAAATTATAGCTTCACTAATGTTACCACCTGCCATTTCTTTCTCCTTTATCCACACTAAGAGTAAATATTCCATCTCTTCAATCACATTACACTTTGCTTTGCTAAGTCTAAAGATTCCCTTTGCCACTTGCACAGTTTTTAACTCCTTTATTCTTCAAAATCGTACATATAGTCGATTTAGCCATCCCATATTCATCACTAAGTTTCGCAATGCTTCTTCCATTCTCACGTTTCTTTATAATCTCTTTCTTGGTTTCAAGGGTTATTAGCTTTCTCACTCGCTTTGGACGACTCATTGTTACAATTGTATACTTGTATAACAAAATAGTTATACAAATAACGCGAATTTCCACATCAAAAGACGAAATTTCAACAATAACAGTGGTGCACTGGCTACACAATGAGACAAAGATGGCGCCTGACGCTCTTGTTGTGGGTCGCGGTACAACAATATTCATGCGCCAGGCGAAATAGTCCGGTATTCATCCGCGTTCGTTGTAGGAGTTGCGTTCGTTATAGCATTCTCAATTTTATAGGTAAAACCGTTCGTTATAGGAATATTCGTAGTAGGATCCGTTCGTTATAGCATACCCCACTGTACACCTATAGCCAGACTCACGGATCTTGAATCTCCCCTTTATGATGTCATCTGGCTCAAAATATCTCTACCTACTGTGACTATTTTTCTTTGTTTCCTATACTGTTCTCCCAACTCTACCAACTATTTCGAACTCTTTGACTATCTCACTTCTTGCCATGAGTCGTTGCTATCCACACACCCCAACACCGAGATCCTCTAACTAGGGGATTTCAATGTACATCACAGACAGTGGCTTGGCTCTGCAAGGGATGACCCAGGTGGAGCTGAGGCACTCTCTTTTTCCTTACTTAATGATTTGGAACAAATAATCAAACACCCTACACGCATTCCTGATCGACACGATCAACTTGCTAACATTCTTGATCTTTGTTTTACCTCTAACCCCTCACACTATTCATACTAAATTTTTACCCCCTTAGGGTCTTCTGATCACAACCTTATTTCTATTAAATCAAACTGGGCACGACCACCTCCCCCACCCCCCTCTAAACGTCAACTATGGCACTATCGGAGGGCAAGCTGGCAATCCTTGCGAGAATTCTTCACCAACTTTCCTTGGGATGAATGTTGCTTTTCCACTCGGGATGCCTCAGTATGTGCTGACAGCATTGCTGGGGTTATACAGGGCGGTATGAGTGCATTTATCCCATCTTCTACCAAAACTTTCACATTACAATCATGGTTTGATCGCTCCTGCTCTCTTGCTTGCAGGGTGAGAGATAGGGCATATCGAGCTATGAAACTATCTCCTCCTCCTATTACCCACACCTCTTTCATTACTTCTAGGAATCGTTGTAAGGCTATTCTTCGTAGGGCCAAGCGGAATTTTATTAAAAGAAAGACTGCTGTCCTGACTAATTCTTCCTCTAGTAAATCCTTCTGGTCCTTAGCTAAAAACATCTGTAACAACTTCTGCACGCATTCTTTTCCTCCCCTCTTCCGTCCCAATAACTCTATAGCCAACTCTCCCCCGAAGAAAGCCAACCTCTTTGGCACCTTATTCTCCTCTAATTCCACCTTAGACGATTCCCACTCTACCCCTCCTACCCCTGCACCTCCTACTGAACCTATGCACTTTCCTATAATCTCCACTCGCAGGGCTGCCGGTGTGTTATCCAGGTTGGATGTGAGTAAGGCGCATGGACCAGACGGAATACCCCCTCGTGTTCTGATGGAGTGTGCTGAAGCCCTGGCCCCTGTGCTTGCTCGCCTCTTTCGCCTTTGCCTCAAAACCAAAACTTTTCCTTCTTCTTGGAAGCATGCCTTGGTTCAGCCCATCCCGAAGAAGGGTGATCATTCTAATCCCTCTAACTATCGCCCCATTACCCTAACTTTATCCCTCTCTAAGATTTTCGAAACTATCTTGAACTCCCATTTTCTCCGTCACCTTGAACGCTTTTCTCTTTTGTCGGATCACCAGTATGGCTTTCGCCAGGCAAGATCTACTGGTGATCTGCTCTCCTATTGCACCCATCTTTGGTCATCCTCTCTTAGGGATTATGGGGAACTTTTGTCGTGGCCCTCGACATCTCCAAAGCATTTGACAGGGTATGGCACAAGTCTTTGCTATCTAAACTTCCCTCTTTTGGTTTCTCTGCCCCACTTTGTTCTCTCATCTCTAGCTTCCTTGAGAATCGATCCATGGCAGTTGTTGTCGAGGGATCAATTTCTCGCTCTTTCTCTACCAATAGTGGCGTCCCACAGGGTTCTGTTCTTTCACCAACTCTCTCTCTTCTTTTTATCAATGATTTACTTCACACTACAACTAATTCTATCCATTCTTACGCCGATGATTCTACTCTTCACTCTTCCTCACATTTTCCCCTTCCTCCTAACTCTCAAACTAGATCTGTTTCTAGAACTGACATCATTACTTCTATCAACATGGATCTGTGCAGCATCTCTGAATGGGGAGATACAAACTTGGTTAAGTTCAATAGTAAGAAAACTCAATATTTACCAATTACACTTTGTAAAGTAGACGATCTCCCACCAATTACATTTCAGGATGCTATCATCCCCCCAAATTCTGAAATAAATATGTTAGGCCTCACCATTTCCTCCAATATGTCCTGGAAATCACACATCCTTAGTATAACTAAAGCTGCCTCCCGAAAGTTGGGAATGCTGTACAGATGCCGCAGCTACTTCACTCCTGAGCAGTTGCTCCAAGTATATAAGGGATTCATTTGTCCTAACTTGGAGTACTGCTCTCATATCTGGGGTGGCTCTTCTTCTGTCCAACTATTAGATAGGGTGGAATCAAAGGCATTTCGTCTTATTAACTCTCCTCCTTTAGTCGACAATCTCTCTCCCCTTTCTCTTCGCTGCAATGTTGCTTCACTCTCTCTCTTTTACAGGTACTTTAACGGGCAATGCTCAGGGGATTTGGCATCCTGTGTACCGCCGGTAAGGCTGTGGGTTCGTAACACACGTCTTGCCCGCGGTGCCCACCATTTCTCTGTGGATATCGGTCACACGAGAATAACCCGTTATAGTACCTCCTTCTTTCCTCACACAGCCAAACTGTGGAATGCTTTGCCTTCTTCTGTGTTTCCATGCTCTTACAATCTGTCTCACTTTAAAAAGCTGGTTTTCCGGCATCTTCATGGTGTAGATTAATACAGTATAACCTTTTTTTCTATATTTTTAATTTCTTTCCGTTCTTTTTTTTCGCCCCCCAGGCTCCGTTGTGGGTCGTTTGACCTGTGCCCAGGTTGGCTAATTCCCGTAAAAAAAAAAAAAAAAGGTGCTCCTCTACTTCCGAACGAGTTAAGTTCCTGAGGCTTGCTTTGTAAGTCCAACTTTACTCTTGTAGATACCAAACATATTGTAAAAAATGAAAAGATTATGGATATTTAGTACAGCTATACTCTTTAATATAGCCTTAAAACCTGGCTCACTCTTCTCCTCTTAGGTAATGTTTGTTCTATCTGGAATTTTCTTCAAAATAATCCAGTCTCATCCACATTAAACACCTGGTCTGGCAGGTAACCTCCCTCAGTGATGATGTTTGTATATCTGAAAGTTTGAAAGTAAAACATTCTTAACTAGAGGGGCACCTGTATCACTGTTTTGGGAGAAGAGGGCAAAAAGCCACACTAGGGAATGCATCTCATAATTATTGCTTTATTTTAATGGTAATTAATGATTCACCATACGACAATTCACCTTACACTGCAATATTAGAGGTCACATCACCAGCGGTTTTTTTAGGCTTTTCTGTACTGCATTTTCCTTATTTATCAGTCATTTCATTTATATAGAATGGAATTAGATTTAAAGAAGTCAGTTTTTCCACAAATTTGTGCATTTTCATGAGTGTTTAAATTAAAAAAATAATAATTCTCAAAAAACACAGAAAAGCAAAAAAGACAGTACTGTACTTGCGAAATGCTCATGAAAATGAACAGATGTGTGGAAAAATGGACTTCTGAGATATAAATTTGCGAGGTCAGCCGGTAGCACTGTGCACTGTAGGATATATTGGAGGATACTAAGAGTAAGGTTCAACTACAGTCGACCCTCGTTAATTCGGACCCCTTTAATCCGGATTTCGGATAATTCGGACAAAATCTGAACAAATTTTTTTTTTTTTTTTTTTTTAAGATTTGTAGGAATATTACCTACGCGGACCTTAAGCTAAAATGCTGGTCCACCCACTGCTGGGATAAAACACCAGCGTCTTTTTGGTCAAATGTAACATCTCCACCACTAGTGTGGGGGGGATGCAACTTTTAGCTTCAGACATGAAAAATATTTACCATTTACTGCCAGTAAACAATGGAAACGTAAAATTTGTACCAATTAGTAATGAAAAGTTGTGCAGTTCCTTCAGCAAATGAAGCTCACCAACTTACAATAGGCTAAATTACCTTACAACGTGTTTTCAGTAGTCTATGTTGAAGTTCTTAGCACAGGCTAACTTATCATATCATATACGGTATCACAGTTCTCATTGATCTACAAAAAATACCGGTAATAAAAACCTTTTTGATATTTCACACTTAATATAATACCCGGTAATCTACTTCAACCTCCTATTGTTTACAACGACACATGACGCACCACCAGCTGTTGAGTATCAGCTACACGGTACACGTGTTTTTCGAATCGTTTTCAGTTAAAAAACTGTTACATCACATGTATATTTTACCTTAACTGTGCCTGAATGAATATATTCTCGGAAATAAATAGTAGTTTTGCTGAAACGTGATGTATTTTAATGTAAAATAGGATAAAATACATGACGAAAACAAAAGACTTTACCTAACCTTCCGATGTTCTAGAGAAGTTACTCGTTTTTTTAATAGTTTTTGGTTAAAATACTGTTATATTACAATGGTATTCTATTCATACTGTGCTTGATATAATGCATTCACGGAAATGCAATATTTTTGCTGAAATGACATAGGTATTAGTGGAAAGAGGGATAAAATCGTGACGAAAACAATGACTTTCGCTTTCTTTCGTTCAAAAGATGTTACCGTAATTGCTTTTCGATTGGTTTTCAGTTAAAAAACTGTTGTATTACATTAATATCCTATCCTAATTGACTTGAATAAATACTACGATACCATATTTCTGAATATTTTCATTAAAATCCATCCAAATCATTTTCCTTGTCATCATCTGCAGCACCAAACAGCTTCTCCCAGTGCTCTCCTTGAACAGAGCTAGAGGGTACGTGTTTTTCGAATCGTTTTCAGTTAAAAAACTGTTACATCACATGTATATTTTACCTAAACTGCGCCTGAATGAATATATTCTCGGAAATAAATAGTAGTTTTGCTGAAATGTGATGTATTTCAATGTAAAATAGGATAAAATACATGAGGAAAACAAAAGACTTTACCTAAGCTTCCGATGTTCTTGAGATGTTATTCGTTTTTTTAGTAATTTTCGGTTAAAATACTGTTATATTAGGGTATTCTATTCATACTGTGCTTGATATAATACATTCACAGAAATGTAATATTTTTGCTGAAATTACGTACGTATTACAGTGGAAAGTGGGATAAAATCGTGACGAAAACAATGACTTTGAAATATAATGCAATATTAACCCCTAAATCGGTTAATTCGGACAATCGGCTAAAACGGACACCCTTCCCCCCCTATTAGTCCGAATTAACGAGGGTCGACTGAACTGTAACTGGAAAATCTCTATCCGGCACCTCTAAATACCCATAGGTGCCGGAAAACTGGGATTCTACAGTTAATGCTACCCCGTAGAGCACCGATTTGTTATAGCACTCTTGCTTACACCTTGGAACTCTATGGAAAAAATAATATAATAATAATAATAAAAATCCAGAAAAGTATTCGCAAGTCACAAGTCTGAACACTCACAACATGCCAAGAGCAGCTCTCTTTGTTTTTACTCGCTTAGCCAACCAGCGGTGAGCGCTCTCTGTTTACAGTATGGAACAAATTTTACGGCGCTTACATTGTGGACACATTCTTGTTGACTCTCTGCTTTTTCAATTAAATTGTGATTATTTTTTACTCATCATGTCTGCTGTTAGTGCATCTCAAGTAAGAAGAAAAAGCATCTCCTTGGATGCAAAATTACAAGGGTTAAGGCTTTTGGAAGCTGGTGAGCGTATGGTGGATTTCAGTGCTGCTTCCATCTTGGCAACATCTACTGTGAGAACCATTATTAAAAATACAGACAAGATAAAAGTTTCAGCCATGACAACAATGAAGTTAACAGCAATGATGGTAAATCGTTCAAGGAGCAGATCGTTGGAAAGAATAAAAGGTAGGCTAAGCATCCACATTTGTGGTAAGGCTGCAAGTGGGGATGCCCAGGCTGCCCAGAAATTTCCCCCCACCCTCAAAGGTAACATCAAGTGGCTACTACCCTCCCCAGCTTGTCTTCAGTGTTGATCAAACCAGAGATCGCCACTGATATCATCAAGCTGTCCAAAGAAGCAGGACTGGGAGATGTCAACATGGATGAAGTGGAGGAACTACTACAGTCTCATAGTGACAGCCTTACCAATGATGAACTGCAGGAATTGACACAGCATCACATCCAGAGTAAGGCTGACGACTCTGATACAGAAGAGTCAGACACACCACCAGAGAGAAACCTCACCACAGCATTCCTAGCATCACCGAGTTTATGGAAATCATGGACCAGTTTGCTGAGAAAGAACCCAGACTGGGAGTGCAGCAGCAAGGCTAAGAGAGGTGTTCTGGACATGATTTACAGAGAATTGCTCCATGAGAGAAAACTCAATAAATGGCAGCCATAAAATGAGGAGCCCCTGTCCCCTCATCCCAGGAGTAGCCTCTCCTGTCCTACCTAGTCTCTTCCCACTGCTGTTGTGATGTGCTGCTGGTTGAGTGCTTTGTTAGTGAGTAGCCATGACCACAGTTGATTAATAAATGTGTTTCATAATTTTTTTTTTATTAAGTGTATGTAGATCTTATTGTACGACAAAAAATTGTGTGTGACTAACTGAAGCACAAGTATGTGGTGGCAAGTGTGGTGGTGGGTTAAAAATCAACTGTTGAGGAGTGCTTGGTAACATACCCGATGCGTGTTACCATTCCCTTCCACTCCAACTCTCTAGTCACCCCCAACCCTTTGCTTTATCACTCCATATATAAAAATGATATGTCACGTAATTTTGAAGTAAGTATAACGTGGGTAGACATTAGCTGTTCAATAGCGTCTGGCAGTGCTGCGGTCAATGTTACCAAAAAAAAAAGCAATTGACGCATCACCACCCTACCAATTACCATCACCACCATCATTAACACCCCCACCATCACCACTACCTCTATTATCACCACCTAAATAATAATTTCAGTGATGCAGAGATAGATTAGATTCAGCCAGAGCAGAGCTGTGCATTAACCACTGCCTACTGCCTCCCTTCCTCCCACTCACTGGGTCTGACCGACACGCTACCCCTCTCACTCATATTCATACAACCATCACTCTTCATCAAACGATTGTCATTCATAATTCAATATTGCTTATTTGTTATTCATTAATTAGTAAAGATATGTTACTGTAATAATCTGTGCTTACTAATACCCATACCCTTCACATGCAATAGTGTATATATCTCATAGGTAAAAAATAGCATCATCAGTAACACATCTCCACATATGCAATGGTATAATCATCCAATAGAGCACTCTTTCAATAAGTGCTCCATTTTCCAGGAATGTATCCCGAGTGCTAACCGGGGTATTGCTGCATCTAGCTATGAAATATTTTACTACAGTATATGCCAAAAATTATACTTCTGGGGACAATTATGAAGGTGGAGGACAGCTTTTTTTTTATACTTGATTAACCCTTTGGATGCGGCATGCGGGTAAACCCGCCCAAAATATTATATTAATTAAATGCGACAAGCGGGGATATCCCACGGCCTTGAAAAAACTTCCCCAAATGAGACGACATGCGGACATATTATGTATTGAGGTATAGGAGTATTTCCTGAATGCAATATAGCTTATTTTTGTACTATTTTGTTTGATATTATCTGAATATGTAATACATATCTAAATTTGCTGTTTAGTAACCAAATTGATTAAATTTATTTGCTATATACCAGACATTGATTTATACCAATTTCCTGCATTTTTGGGTATAAATGTCATTTTTTCTCTAAAATTTGCACACATATGTGAATTTTTGTTCCAGATTTGGAAAATATACTAAAAGTTCTCTAGGAAAAACATATAGAAAATGTGATTATATGAAATTCATTTTTGGCAGGATAATTGACACTTTTCAGGAACCGGCACGAAATTTAATTACGCACCTAAAGGGTTAATGAACACATTAACACAAATTGAGGCTATAGCATAATGTTCTTATAGAATCTCCAAATAACTGGATACCTCTAGTATATTATTGTGCTTCATCCATGAAAAAATACTAAAAATAAGAATAGCAAAAACTTCAAGAGAAATACTGGAAATGTAAAAAAAAAAAAAAAATTAGATACTTTGGTCACATAAATGGGAATGAGGAATAATAACAGAAATATTAATGGGGAAATTTAAGGGTAGGAATACAGGGGAAGGCAGAAACTGGGATGGATGAGTGAAATTAAAACTGGGTCCCTAGAGAGATACAAAACCTTAGACAATTGGTAAAACCGCTAAAGAACATTCAGAGTGGAAGACTGGTCGCCAACCCTCAATATATGAGGGTGGTACTCTGAGTGACTGAGGTTGATTTTCTTTAATGTACTGTATGCTTCAACAGCTATGGTTATAATGCTAAAAACAGTTCTGATTCTATAAATTAACACCTCATAATACTAAAGAAGGACATTGTTAAGCTTTCTATATATCCAGTAACCAGAGAAAGAATCCCAAACAATCTCAGATACTGATAACCTAGAACTCCAGAGAAAAACAGTTTTAATGCTCTATCCAAGACCCTTCTGTGTCACCTTAGAAGCCAAGGAATCTTGGTTTCATATCTTGGCACTGAGAAAGTCTTCCTATTACAGGTGCACCTGACTTATGTTCCTTGTTCTCCATAAGTTTTCAAAGCCTTTTTGCCAAAGTTCCCCTTAAGGGTTCATGAATACTTAATACACTGTATGTGGACAAAAAATCAAATTACTTAAGTAAATGAATTGGAAGATATAAAATTCAGATTTGCCTTCTAGCAATGTACTTCCCAAACCAGCAGCCAACTCATGGGTATCATGTGTCTATGAGCCAGGTCATGTTAGGAATGACCCACAGTGGAGAGCCCCCCCCCCCCACCCCCCATTGACACTTTACTTTTGTAATAAATACACAGCCAAGTGAACCCAGACTGATATCACCACTTTTAGTGGCAAGTCAGCAAAGAGCTGAATATAAAAATGGTGGAGTGACCTTGAAATCAAAGATGGCAGGCAAAACCTTGGAGCAATGTGTGCTGAGTAGGTGGACATGGCTCAAAGAAAACCCTGTAGTCTCTAAATAACAACTATTGTATCTAATCACCCTTGTTGGATGTTTAACATGTGATGTGGAGGAAGGAGTGATGGCTTTCCCCAAATAGGCAAAAAAATTTAACCTTAACTTGCATTCTAGGGGATGGTGTTCAGACCCAGATTCCCTAGAAACTACCTCTACTGCATCCTGTACTACAAGGGCTTTAGGAGCATATATTAGATTTTTTTTTTTTTGTGTAAACTGAACTGTATTCTGGGTATATGTAACTGTCTTTCTGGTAAAAGTAGAAATGGATTTGTACAATACTTACAGCTGGCATAGCAAGAACAAGCTCAACCAGGTGTCTAAGGAAGTGGCCCAAATCCTTGGAGATGATTGAACTGAAAAACAAAGGAAAAATGCGTATATTCAAAATTATCCATAAAAATCCCTAAAATCACTCATTAAGTAAATGGTTATACAGTGATATCTCCGTTAGCCAGAACAATTGGTGCAGAGCACTTCCAGGAATGAGAGACTTCCGGATAACGAGACGACTCTCTCAAAGCTGCAAAAAATCCCTTATCGGAGGAATTTTTCGGGCAACGGAAACATTTTCTCGGAAGTTGCAGAAATTGCCCATTACATCATCTCTCGAACCTCGAAAAAGCCATTTTTTTCTAAAAAACAGCTTTTGTGATATACAGTTGTACCCCACTTAACGCGGTCAATTGAACCCAGAGGGTCCCGCGTTAAGTGAAATCCGCGTTAAGTGAACAACAGAACATATGGGATTAATTCCAATAGAAACCGGCCCGACCCCCAAATTCCACTTTTTGAAGGCACATACCTATGTTGTAGTAAAAATAACATCTTAATTTTATGATGGTACATGCACACAATTAATACTTAAGAGAAATAGAGAAATACAGTCGCCAAGTTAATGTCCATTCAAATAATGGACTCAACTCCCTCCCCCTCTCACACTACACAGCCGGCTAACAGATGGTCGGTCGGTCCCTCCCTCCCCCCCCACCCCCCACCAACCGTCCCAAGGAGATGTGTGGGATAACCTCAAACTAAAGTTAGGAAAATATAATTGACATTGCTGGATTCCTTGTAAGACCAGGAATATTTTGAATATAAATGTCATATATTTTGGACAAAATATAACATAGTTACCTAGAGAAAAATTTTTATCTAAAAATTGTAAATTTAAAGCAAAATATATGATGTTTATATTCAAAATGATCACCAAATTATAAGAATTCCAGCAATGTAAATTATATTCTGACCGGGTAATTTGTATAAATTTTATGAGCTAAAACAAATATCTTCAGTTAATAAAAAAAAAATAATCTTCACGACACTATCTGTCAATCAAAGTACCCCACCTTGCCTCCCCCCCTCTTCCAACCGCGCGGTCAGTCCCAACCCTCCCCCCCACCCCCCACCAATCCTCCCTTCCAGAGTTTTTAACATTTAGTATTAAATAATACCTCAGATTAAAGTTAGGATAATATAATTGACATTGCTGGATTCCTTGTAAGACCAGGAATATTTTGAATATAAATGTCATATATTTTGGACAAAAGATACCATAGTTACCTAGAGAAAAAATTTTATCTAAAAATTGTAAGTTTAAAGCAAAATATATGATGTTTATATTCAAAATGATCACCAAATTATAAGAATTCCAGCAATGTAAATTATATTCTGACCGGGTAATTTGTATGAATTTTATGAGCTAAAACAAATATCTTCAGTTAATAAAAAAAAATAATAATTCTTCACACGGTAACAGATGGTCGGTTGGTCCCTCCCTCCCCCCCACCCCCCACCAACCGTCCCAAGGAGATGTGTGGGATAACCACTAAATTTTAATAAATAATACCTCAAACTAAAGTTAGGATAATATAATTGACATTGCTGGATTCCTTGTAAGACCAGGAATATTTTGAATATAAATGTCATATATTTTGGACAAAAGATACCATAGTTACCTAGAGAAAAAATTTTATCTAAAAATTGTAAGTTTAAAGCAAAATATATGATGTTTATATTCAAAATGATCACCAAATTATAAGAATTCCAGCAATGTAAATTATATTCTGACCGGGTAATTTGTATGAATTTTATGAGCTAAAACAGGCAGTCAGGCAGGGTGGCCGGTGGGGCAAATCTAAAAATAGCGTCTCGGACACTCACCGCGTATATGTGGAAAAAATCCGCGTTAAGTGAAAGTTCAGCTTTGGCAAGGCACCGCGTATATGCGAAAACGCGTTAAGTGAAACCGCGTTAGGCGGGGTAAAACTGTACTGTAGTCCAGAATGCGATGTCTAACTTCATACCTACGTATGTAAATGCCTAGCAGTAACTCGCCAGGCCAACATACAGGCAATTAAAACATCTAATACAGTGGGGTATGCTATAACGAATGTAATTGGTTCCAGAACCTCGTTCGTTATAGCATTCATTCGTTATAGGATTAATCCGTTCCAGGCCCCCAAATACAACCGCTTAACACTGAAAAAATTCTGTGGAAAATGTAAAAAATACAGTACTTTATCTTACCTTAGTGTTATTCAGCATGTAGGTACCCCTAAACACTGGCACATCACTATCACTTCCACTGGGAGTCTTGGCTTTAAGGTCCTCAAACAATTGTTTAGCCTTCTCACAAATTATAGCTTCACTAATGTTACCACCTGCCATTTCTTTCTACTTTATCCACACTAAGAGTAAATTTTCCATCTCTTCAATCACATTACACCTTGCTTTGCTAAGTCTAAAGATTCCCTTAGCCACTTGCACAGTTTTTAACTCCTCTTTATTCTTCAAAATCGTACATATAGTCGATTTAGTCATCCCATATTCATCACTAATTTTCGCAATGCTTCTTCCATTCTCACGTTTCTTTATAATCTCTTTCTTGGTTTCAAGGGTTATTAGCTTTCTCACTCACTTTGGACGACTCATTGTTACAATTGTATACTTGTATAACAAAATAGTTATACAAATAATGCGAATTTCCACGTCAAAAGACGAAATTTCAACAATAACAGTGGTGCATTGGCTACACAATGAGACAAAGATGGCGCCTGACGCTCTTGTTGTGGGTCGCAGTACAACAATATTCACGCGCCAGGCGAAATAGTCCCGTATTCATCCGCGTTCGTTGTAGGAGTTGCGTTCGTTATAGCATTCTCAATTTTATAGGTAAAACCGTTCTTTATAGGAATATTCGTAGTAGGATCCGTTCGTTATAGCATACCCCACTGTAATTACTTAAATACGTAATATTAGGAGGACATGTCGCTACCTGGCATTTATTTGCAATTCTCAAAAGCCCTTCCCGCACCCTCCATCACACGCATTGCTACCGTCATCTCTTGCCCTAGAGCGAGCAGTAAACAAATTTCAACTCTCGAGGGGTGGAGATGGGTGGGATGTCGACGTCACATTTTGGATTATATCACAAAAACTGGTTTTTAGAAGAAAAAAAAAAGGCTTTTTGTTCAATCCAGAATGCTATGTCTAGCTTTGATTACCCGAGCAGGAGGTGGAGAGGGAGGTGATATTGCGTATAAGGCTCCGCTAGCTTAGGTCCAGATTATAATTATAAACTTTTTGGAATATTTTCCAATATTAGGAACATTTACCGGAAGGTAAAATGTTAATTTACATATCCCAATTAAGATACTCACTTTATTCTGATGAGGAAGAAGAAGGTCCTGGTTGTGGAGATTAACTAGGTGGGGGAGGGGACCCCAGCACCACCACATGTGAAGCATCTTTCAGAGATACAGTAAAGCCTCGAATAAAGATGGTAATGTGTCCTCCAATATTACAGTGTAAGGTGAATCATTAATTACCATTAAAATAAAGCAATAATAATGAGATACATTCCCAAGTGTGACCTTTTCATATCTTTTGTGTGGATTTTTACCCTCTTTTCCCCCCCCAAAACAATACAATTAATAAAAATTGCAAACTATATTCTTTAAATAATGTTTCTGAATGCACCTTATACAATATAATTGAATAATAATATGGTCACACAGGAGATGGGACGTCATTGTTTTCGTTTGTGTTTACAGCCGAGAGTCCGGGACGATAGTTCAAAAAGAGAAATTTAAGAAAATAAGA